AAAATACACTTACTTTTTGGCACTTTTTTCAAAAAATGAAAAAAAATTTTTTTTGGTCAAAAAAAAAATTTGTTTGTTTTTAAAAGTGGATTAAGAATTGTCTAAAGTTTCTGAGAAAAATAACTTTTGGCTGCTCCCACTGATCACGCGATGCAATTGACTAAACTTTGTCAACTGTTGCTCGCTTCCCAGTGCAATTTTGCATGCATTTCTAAAGTCCAGCTTTAAAAACCGTTATCTCCCAAAAAAAAATATTTGTTTTGTTTTGTGCCTGTTTTTGTAATAGTTGAACATTTCTAAAAGTGCTGCTAAAAGCTCATCGACCTCAAAAATAGTTCAACTTTTGCTAAAAGTCCCGCTAGATTGGTAAAATCTTACACTGTGCGGTGAGGGCGATACCGTTACCCAAGAATACTGGGTCATATATAGAACTAGCAGGGTCTGTAGCCCGCAGCTTCGCCTGCGGAAATTAAAATTGAAAATTAAGCATTGCTTTATCTTTGGTACTTATTTTAAATTTAAAAAATTCCTAATGTTTATTCTATAAACCGAGAAAAGATTTTATCAGAACTTTTTCCCTTGATATCCGTAAAAACAAAAATATTTTGTCCTTTAAAAACTACTTAAAAAAACATGTGTCTTTTTTAAATCTTTTTAAAGTTATTATGGATTATGGTCCTTCGACAGTTAAAAAAAATTAATGTCTCCAATTCTTATTTTAAAAAAATGAATGCCAGAGATAGGATAATTTTAGGCTTATTTTTATTTCATCGGTCCCTTAAAACAAATCCTGTTGATATTGGCCTTGCTACCTCGTTCTACATTTTCTATTTCTATTTTCTATTTCTATTTTTGTTTTTTAAAGATGCAATTTTTAAACTATTTATTTAAACTATTACAAACCAAATACTCTTGGCGAATTTGCTACCGGGGGGTTTTTGGAAGGTATCCACAGTAGACAACTATTATAAGGGAAACAAATATGCGGAGCAATGTTTTGCTTTATGTATTTGACTAATTTAAGAAAAGACATCAAGAAAGGCAATTCCAAATTACTGCATTTTGTCATTGATATTTTGTTTCAGTATTTTTGTTTTCACATTAATTTTTCACCTTGATTAGAATTATATTAATAATAGGGAAGGCAGGTGGGCGGGGAAGCCGTGAATCAAATTGTTTAAACAGTTGAATTTGTTTAAGCAATATGAGCACGTGTAATAAAGAGCAAGAGAATCAATTGGTTTGAATATTTAATGTTCTTTTAATATTATCAATGCGATTTGAATTTTTGTTAACAAAAATCGGTTACAAAATGTCTTATGTAAGTATGTTGTGGAAATGTAAACGAAATATTCTTTTAGCAAAAGGATATCAGTATTGTCTAGAATTTGAATTTGATCGAATCTCAATTCCTTAGTCAGCTGCAATGCACACACACAAACGTACACACGCATATATATATCTAATGGCTGTGTGTGTAAAATACGCATTTTTTGGATATATTTATTTTGTGCGTGTGTGTGTACATAGCAGAGCAAATCATTGTTTGTTTTTGTTTTTTACAGATCAAAAGTTTGACGAAAACTCAACATTTGAAAACTAATAAATAGTTTGCTTATCGGGCTTTTGCATTTTAAAAAACAAAAGCAATTTTAAGGAAAATTTCGACTGTAAAATTCAGCTTAATGGGATTTCTGTAAGGTCTACCGATATTTTAAAATTTAACGTTTACTTAAGATTTGCGATATAATCGATTTTTTTTGGCTGTGGTATTTTCATTCTCCCCTTCTCCACTTAAATTGCGACAGCAGGACATACATATGTACATACATACATGCGCCAGCAGAACATACATACAAACACATGGGGACGCGTGACGTCACATCAGGTTAGCCAAATTTGAAAATATTGGGGACTTGGTTAAGGATGCTGAATCTCCAAGAAATTTAAATGCAGTTATTTGCGGGTATGCCATAAGATTATGAACATCACATTTTTAAACCATTTTAACAACATTTATAACAGAGAAATGACAAAAGAAAGAATTAAAAACAAGAAAGGAAGCTAGCTTCGGCAAGCCGAAGCTTATATACCCTTGCAGATCATTCTATTAATTTACAAATCGCAAAAATGTTAAATTTCTTATTATTTCACATTAATTTTTCGATCGTTTCTATCACAGCTATATGATATAGTAGTTCGATCTTTTAAAAATTAAAATCGAAATTCGGAAATATTTCAAAATAGTCATATCCCAGAGTAGAAGGAACTGTAATAAAAACCAACAAAGATATAATTTTTTCCCATTAATTTCCATTTAATTTTTCGACCGTTCCTATGGCAGCTATATGATATAGTGATCCGATTTAAAAAACAAAAAAAAACGAAATTCAGAAATATATAAAAAAAAATGTTCCCAAGAGTAGAAGGTAAAATTTTAAAAAACACCGGAGCTAGAATTTTTTTACGTTTTTTTTTTTGATCCTTCCTATGGGAGCTATAAGATATAGTTGTCCGATCCGTTTGGTTCCGACATATATACTACCTGCAATAGAAATACGACTTTTACGAAAGTTTCATCCCGATAGCTTTAAAACTGAGAGACTAGTTTGCGTAGAAACGGACGGACAGACGGACAGACGGACGGACAGACGGACAGACGGACAGACGGACATGGCTAGATCGACTCGTCTAGTGATGCTGATCAAGAATATATATACTTTATGGGGTCGGAAACGTCTCCTTCACTGCGTTGCAAACTTCTGACTGAAATCATAATACCCTCTGCAAGGGTATAAAAAAACAAATCGAATTTTGGGGCACTTTGGGGTCGTTTTTTGTTCTAAAAAGTACCCCTTACGCGGCTCCTAATTATTTTAGTAATTACTGTGATTTTTCTAGATTTTTAGGCAGGGAACGAAAATAACTGTTATTGTAAATTTTTCATACAAAAAAATCACGCACTTAGAAGGGTCCTAAAAATTTTTTAAATACACCACAATTTTTATTAGCCATTGTAGTTTACAAATCCGTAATGATTTTTATTTTTTGATTTTTATAATAAAACTCAAAAAATAACTGTTATTTTTTGATTTTTATGAATAACAGTTATTCTATAACAGTTATCCTTGACATTTTTGAAAAAATGAAATAATTAAAAAAACATGATACCCGTGCTTTTTATAACTTACTAAAAATTTGTTAAAAAAGGCAACCGCGCATATTTTATACCTATATTTTTTTAAAATTTTGTTTACCCACAAAATCGCCATAAATCAAGTTTGAGTTTTATTTTTGATCACGACGAATAACTGTTATTTGTCAACTTTTATTATAAAACTCAAAAAATAACAGTTATTCTTTGAGTTTTACTTTACAAATCAGAAAATAACTGTTAAAGTGTGATTTTTAAAATAAAACTTATAACAGTTACGTTCCCTGTTTTTAGGTCAATCCGTTCTGGGTGGAATTTGCTACTGACCGTTTTTTAATCAAGACAAATATTGATATAGAAGATTAAGCAATAAAATAGCGCTTACTTCAGCTGCATGGACGATCATCTCGTACTTCGATTTACACCATCACTGCGTGCTTTACAAGAGCGTCTCGCGGAGTGGTTTTTATGTTTTTCAACCAAACCTCGAAAAATGCAGCACGGCTTATTTCACTCGTTTCTAAATAGAAGGTCTTTGGGCAAAATATGGGCAAGATTTTTTTTTAGATTCTGAATCAGAATGAATGCATGCGAATTATGTATGTTCTGGTTGGATAGAATACGAATAATATAAGTTTTTTTCCACCAAAAAACAGAAATATGAAAAAATACACTTACTTTTTGGCACTTTTTTCAAAAAATGAAAAAATTTTTTTTTTGGTCAAAAAAAAAATTTGTTTGTTTTTAAAAGTGGATTAAGAATTGTCTAAAGTTTCTGGGAAAAATAACTTTTGGCTGCTCCCACTGATCACGCGATGCAATTGACTCAACTTTGTCAACTGTTGCTCGCTTCCCAGTGCAATTTTGCATGCATTTCTAAAGTCCAGCTTTAAAAACCGTTATCTCCCAAAAAAAAAATATTTGTTTTGTTTTGTGCCTGTTTTTGTAATAGTTGAACATTTCTAAAAGTGCTGCTAAAAGCTCATCGACCTCAAAAATAGTTCAACTTTTGCTAAAAGTCCCGCTAGATTGGCAAAATCTTACACTGTGCGGTGAGGGCGATACCGTTACCCAACAATACTGGGTCATATATAGAACTAGCAGGGTCTGTAGCCCGCAGCTTCGCCTGCGGAAATTAAAATTGAAAATTAAGCATTGCTTTATCTTTGGTACTTATTTTAAATTTAAAAAATTCCTAATGTTTATTCTATAAACCGAGAAAAGATTTTATCAGAACTTTTTCCCTTGATATCCGTAAAAACAAAAATATTTTGTCCTTTAAAAACTACTTAAAAAAACATGTGTCTTTTTTAAATCTTTTTAAAATTATTATGGATTGTTTGCATAAGTTAACAGATGGACAAAACAGAAACTAACAGATTCCTTTTTCGACACAAATCCTCACACTTATTTCATTCAAAACATTAGTATTTTGTCCAAAACATATTAATTAAATATAGAATGTCATACTGCGTTGAGCATGTAATTTAATTTAATTTAATTTATTTGTTTATTGTATCCTAGCGTTACAAGTTTTTGAAACTTATGAATTAGTACGCTAGTCACTCCGTGTTGATAATTATAGTAAATTTATAGCTGACAATATTTCTTAAAAATACTACATAGTTGTTTACAAAGGACTTAACTAAACTTATCTTTAATTGTTAGAGTTATTTATTTTTAGAAATTCTTTTAATTTAATTTTAAACTGATTAGCACTTCTTATTGATTTGAGAACATGAGGCAGTTCGTTCCACAGGCGCACAGCATTGATGTAGAACTGTCTCTGAGAACACAGTAATCTTGTTCTCGGATGTATTAAATTATTAGTTCGATTTGATTGGGCATGCACAAGTTTGTCAGCGAGGTAGGTTGGTTCATTTGTCATTATAATCTTATGAACGAAAATTAGAGTTCTAGAATCTATCCATTGCTCTAACTTCATATCGTAAATAGACTCTGCCAGGGTGGATATGTGTTCTGCTGTTCTTTTATTAAATACGTATCTGGCTATGGAGTTGAACCCTACTTTTAATTTTTGAAAGTCCCGAGTATCGCAATGGCCAAAGATTTCAACACAATAAAATAATGAGGGTAGTAGGTACATTTTTGCTATTAGGATCTTAAGGTTTACTGGCAGAAAGTGTTGGGATACTGACAGCTGCCTTAACATTCCATATATTTTTCCTGTTGCTTTAGTAATATGTGTACTCCATTGCAAGGTATTGTTGAAAGTTACACCCAAGTTAACAGCATTTTGTACATATTTAATGGGAATATTATTAATTACTATACGGGGCAAGTTATTAGTTTTAAGTGCTTTTTTATAAATTATCAGACATTTTGATTTACTAGGATTTAGTCCCAGACCATTTCTTTGCGCCCATTTATGTATTTTGTTTAATTCAGTATTACATATAGATATACAATGACACATCTCACATAAAGGTCGACTTACATATATTTGTACATCATCTGCGTACATATGAACATTACAGTTTGACAGATTATTAGGCAGGTCATTAATATACACACAAAACATTAAAGGACCGAGCACAGATCCTTGAGGGACACCGCGCTCAATAGTTTTAAACGCGGAAATGTCCGAACCTGACACTACTGCTTGTGCCCTCCCAGAGAGATACGACTTAAGTAGTGCGACTGCTGTGGTATTAAAGTTGAAGATATTACTGAGCTTGGTACAGAGAATCTGGTGGTTGACAGTGTCGAAAGCTTTGCTATGGTCTAAGAGCGTTAAGAAGGTTACATATCCTTTGTCAAGTTGCGTTCGGATATCCTCAACTATACCTGCTACTGCCGTGGTACAGCTTCTGTACCCAATCCATTGCCATTAAAGCCTAGAATCATTATTTGAAAAAAAATTTCTTTAAGAAAAAAATAGATAGGATACGAATTTGATTAAATTGACATGTTAAAAATATTAAACTCATTTTCAATTTCGGAGAGTTTTGACTATTGCTGACCCGCTCTTACCCAGTTAAATTTAGGCATTTTTTTGTATGAATTCAGAGTGCAAAAATATGAATTTCAAAGCAGTACTTTATCGAAAACAAAGCAAAAAACTGCCAAAATATGGATTATCACGCCGCGTTAAGTATGTAATTCAATTCCAAATCGATTAGCGTTTAACTCTGGAAAAAAAACTTGTATTCTTAAAAAAATTGCTAAAAGTTTTACATAGCTCTCCAACAACCAATATAATAATTTTGATTAAGATTTAAAAAATTTGAGGGAATATTTGTAATTTAAGTTCGCCTTGAAATGTTACAACCGCTTCAAAATGTGATGGGATGTTTATCCTTCGACAGTTAAAAAAAAATTAATGTCTCCAATTCTTATTTAAAAAAAATGAATGCCAGAGATAGGATAATTTTAGGCTTATTTTTATTTCATCGGTCCCTTAAAACAAATCCTGTTGATATTGGCCTTGCTACCTCGTTCTACATTTTCTATTTCTATTTTCTATTTCTATTTTTGTTTTTTAAAGATGCAATTTTTAAACTATTTATTTAAACTATTACAAACCAAATACTCTTGGCGAATTTGCTACCGGGGGTTTTTGGAAGGTATCCACAGTAGACAACTATTATAAGGGAAACAAATATGCGGAGCAATGTTTTGCTTTATGTATTTGACTAATTTAAGAAAAGACATCAAGAAAGGCAATTCCAAATTACTGCATTTTGTCATTGATATTTTGTTTCAGTATTTTTGTTTTCACATTAATTTTTCACCTTGATTAGAATTATATTAATAATAGGGAAGGCAGGTGGGCGGGGAAGCCGTGAATCAAATTGTTTAAACAGTTGAATTTGTTTAAGCAATATGAGCACGTGTAATAAAGAGCAAGAGAATCAATTGGTTTGAATATTTAATGTTCTTTTAATATTATCAATGCGATTTGAATTTTTGTTAACAAAAATCGGTTACAAAATGTCTTATGTAAGTATGTTGTGGAAATGTAAACGAAATATTCTTTTAGCAAAAGGATATCAGTATTGTCTAGAATTTGAATTTGATCGAATCTCAATTCCTTAGTCAGCTGCAATGCACACACACAAACGTACACACGCATATATATATCTAATGGCTGTGTGTGTAAAATACGCATTTTTTGGATATATTTATTTTGTGCGTGTGTGTGTACATAGCAGAGCAAATCATTGTTTGTTTTTGTTTTTTACAGATCAAAAGTTTGACGAAAACTCAACATTTGAAAACTAATAAATAGTTTGCTTATCGGGCTTTTGCATTTTAAAAAACAAAAGCAATTTTAAGGAAAATTTCGACTGTAAAATTCAGCTTAATGGGATTTCTGTAAGGTCTACCGATATTTTAAAATTTAACGTTTACTTAAGATTTGCGATATAATCGATTTTTTTTGGCTGTGGTATTTTCATTTTCCCCTTGCGCGGTCACACTTAAATTGCGACAGCAGGACATACATATGTACATACATACATGCGCCAGCAGAACATACATACAAACACATGGGGACGCGTGACGTCACATCAGGTTAGCCAAATTTGAAAATATTGGGGACTTGGTTAAGGATGCTGAATCTCCAAGAAATTTAAATGCAGTTATTTGCGGGTATGCCATAAGATTATGAACATCACATTTTTAAACCATTTTAACAACATTTATAACAGAGAAATGGCAAAAGAAAGAATTAAAAAAAAACAAATCGAATTTTGGGGCACTTTGGGGTCGTTTTTTGTTCTAAAAAGTACCCCTTACGCGGCTCCTAATTATTTTAGTAATTACTGTGATTTTTCTAGATTTTTAGGTCAATCCGTTCTGGGTGGAATTTGCTACTGACCGTTTTTTAATCAAGACAAATATTGATATAGAAGATTAAGCAATAAAATAGCGCTTACTTCAGCTGCATGGACGATCATCTCGTACTTCGATTTACGGCTACTGGCGCAAAAGATCGCAGCCTTTAAGACCAGCGTAAAAGGGTTATATAGATGGTGTATTAGAAGTGAAGCATGTCCAACAATAATACACGCGCTCGAGCAGGGGGCCAGTGAATTGTATGATGCACAGCAATTTTTTGAGCACCCTTTTTTTTGCTGTCGATTCGAGCGCGTGGCAAGTCGTTTCACAGTGTTCTCGGTCCGGTGCAGTTGTAGTTGCATATTCGCCAGCGATTTAGACGCCATCTTCCAATCACCATAAAGATCTACAAGGATATCATCACCGGCGACGAGATGTTCGCCGACACCTACAAGATGAAGCTGGTGGACGACGTGATCTACGAGGTCTACGGCAAGCTGATCACCCACCAGGGCGATGATATCCAACTGGCTGGAGCCACCGCCTCCGCCGAGGAGGCGGACGAGGGCACCGAAATCACCTCGGAGATTGGCGTCGATGTTGTGAAGGACTACATGAAGAAGGTGCTGGCCAAGCTGGAGGAGAACGCCCCCGACCAGGTGGACGTGTTCACACAGAGAGAATTCTGACGTTCTCATCTGAGTTGGAAATGTTCTTAAAAATAGAAAGGCCTTTTTCAAGTTCAAATGTTCTAAATGTGCTTGAATTAAGTGGAATTGGTTCTTAAAATCTAGTTGAGCTTAAAATGTTCTTAAAATAAGAACGAATCGTTATTATTTTAGCACATGTTTCTTAAATCAAATCAATTTTGTTCTCAAAAACCACAATATCTCAAAATGTTCTTAGTTTGAGAACGAAAGGGACTAAAGAAAGAACCAAAATTAGGTTGCATTTCAACTTAAAATGATTCAAAACTCTATTCTCTTATTTTTTTTTGGATTTCCTAGAACGCGTTAGGATGTTTTCGTTTGACACCTAGAACGCACTAGACCATTTTCCTTTGCTCCAATACCACTTTACCATTAGATTTGCCCTTTTCGTCTTATATATAATTCCCAACTGGTTCTAGCCCTTCATGAACCAAGCCCAATTCAGATTCTAAGACTTTAAGACTTTTTTTCTGGCTCTTTAAACTTTAGTCTTTAATAAACTTTCACACTAACTGAAAGTCAAGTGCAACCCTTTATAAGATGTAATTGGACAACTACCTTTTTAATATTACTTATAAATTACTCTTATCCTTAGCTAAAATCAAACTCAAAATGCTATAGAATTGAGAGCAAAATGTGCTGAAAATAGAACAAATGAACTTATTTTTTTATCCATTTGATTTAAAAATGTACTTGAATTAAGAACAAAATCAACTTGAAAATAGAACGAAGTGAACTTAATGTCGGATTTTTAGCTAACACCATTTCGTTCTGATATTGTGAACATTCAACTCGAAATGAGAACATTTGTGCTTACCCGGTTTTTAAGAACGAATGTTCTTGACTTGAGTGCAATGTTCTTGGTTTTTTTTCTCTGTGTAGGTCTGAAGAATTCGCGGTCTCATTATGTTGAAGAATTCATGAATAGCTGTATTGGTTAGAACTTTAAAAATTGTTACCATGGTCATTAATGGTTTCTCTAGGTCTGAAGAATTCAGGTCTTATTATGTTTATGACTTTATGAATGGCTTTATTGGTTAGAACTTTAAAAATTGTTACCATGGTCATTAATGGTTCCTCTAGGTCTGAAGAATTCGCGGTCTTATTATAGTAAAGAATTCATGTGTATAAGTAAAAATTGCAACCTTTAAAATTCCAATTCTAATTGAGCAACAGATATTTAAGACTTATATATTTTCGATCACAAATGTTATTTAATGATTTTTTACTATAAGTCTTTTCATAAGAGTTATCTTGACTTTTATTTTTTCAGACTAAAAATAACTGTTATTTTTAGACTTTTATTTTAAAAGTCATGAATAAAAGTTACGGAGGACTTTTATTTTTTCGGTCAAAAAATAACTGTTATTCTCTGACTTTTATTTTAAAAGTCTGAAATAACAGTTACTTCATGACCAATTTAATCTAATGAATAGACCGCATTAGATTGGTTATGTGACTTTTTTCTCCGATTTTTAGTGGGATCCGAAGTGCATGATTTTTTTGATTAAAAATAATAAAAACTGTTATTTTCGGTCCCTGGTAAAAAATCGATATAAAATCGAACTATTGATTGATTTTTTTCTTGATGGTCTTGTTAGTTGACTTAAAGATGTATCTTTAAGTATAAGTCTTAAAAATAATTTCAGTTTTTAGGCGTGTATTTTTAACGATGCCATTTATGCCAGCATTTTTGCATTTTTTCTAACTTTTTCAACTTTGACGAAATGTAGCTTCTAAACTAACGAATGGAACTCAATGACGTGTATAAGAAAGTTGGAGGGTTGGTCATTTACGGTTGAAATCGGTTAACCACAACTCAAGTTAGAAATTAAAAAAGTGTCAAAAGCGTTTTTTACATTTTTAAAAAAATTCTATCCATAAAAAAAATTTTAAGAGCCATTTTCTGAATCAGGAAGACGTACCTTACCGGAAAACAAAGGTTTCATTCATGGTATATTTCATCGATCTTTTTTTGTAAACTGGTGTAATTACACCAGTTTACAAAAAACGAGAGAGAAAACGCTATAGTCGGGTTGGTGTCCCGACTATCTAATACCCGTCACTCAGCTAAAGGGAGTGCGAACGCTATATTCGGGTTGGTGTCCCGACTATCTAATAATCGTAACTCAGCTAAAGGGAGTGCAATGGATATTGATATACGATATTTTTGATTGTGTATAACTTTTTAATAAATGGTCCGATTTGAAAAATGTCTTCTACATTTCGATAGGTATAAATATATATAACAAAATTGCATTTATACTTCTCGGATATCTTTAAAAGTGTGGGCACCAGACACATTTTAAAATCGTTAGTGGGCGATTGTGGGCTGAAATAAACTTGCGCCGCGTAGGAAGCCCAAGAATATGTGTGGGAAATCTCAACCTTCTAGCTTTTGTAGTTTCCGAGATCTCAGCGTTCATACGGACAGACAGAGAGACAGACAGACGGACATGGCTATATCGACTCGGCTAGTGACCCTGATCAAGAAAACATACTTTAGCACCAATACAATATACCCTTTTACTCTACGAGTAACGGGTATAAAAATCGATGAAATATACCATGAAAGAGACATGATAATTATCAATCAAATGTGCAATCGGAAAATAATAAGTTTATTCGCTACTTTTGTATGTGCAAATGTTTTCGTTTCATTCAAAACAACAAATTACAAACAAGTATACGAATTTGTAAGCAAATTGTGCAAAATTGCATTGATAGCATTGTAACTGATAGAAAGTATAAAAATGCACTACTTTTACTCACTACGTATACTTATTTTTAAAAACTAAACATGGCTCCACCTTTTTGACAAAAACCGATTGAAACTAACGATATGACGCATATGTTAGATTAAATAACAACAATTTTTTTGTGGGGAACCCGTTTAAAACATTTTTTAAACTATTAATTTGTTTTTATTTTTAAGAAATTAAAAACTCATTAAAAAAAAAATTTTTTTTAAGAAGAGGTTTTTTAGGAATTAATGCAAAAAACACGAAGACAATCGGATTACGGGTGCATGTCATAACGCCCGGTGTCATAACGCCCGTGGGCCTTATGACACACTTCAAAGTGTCATAACGCCCGCAGGCGCTATGTCACTTTTTTTGAGGGCCTTATGACACACAGGAAAGTGACAAAACGCCCTCAGGAAAAAAATATATTTAACTAATACTTTAGTAATTAATGTGATTTTTTTAGATTTTAATGTCCGTTCTGGGTGAAATTTTCTGCTGACCGTTTTTTAGAGTTCCAATTTTATATTAGTTTAGATTATTTATATAAGTAAAAAAGTCGTATTCAGGTTGAGCGCGCGCAGTAAACAATAATGCGGCTTGCACTTTTATTCAAACAAATTTTTGTCTGCGCCCTATATAACATTTTATTGAAATACTTGTAAATGCGAGTAACATAGAGGCAATGTAGTAATCAGTTGTGTAGAATAATTTAGCGATGAGTAATGTGGTAGAAGTTAAGTATTTGTAGTGAAAGAAAGCGCCGCAGCCAAAAATTTTTTTTCAAAAAAATCGCGCGATTTTTTAGAAAAAAAATTTTTGTCTGCGGTCTATTTAACAATATATTGAAATACTTGTAAATGATTTTCAACTATCTGGCTGCAGTTCGGGCAGAGCATTAGAGAGTTTTTTGAACGCTGTTCCATATTTTTGAAGCACTCAAAGCATATTTTGAAGTGCCAACATGGAAGAAGAACTAAATAATTCTCTTATCGGTATTCTCATTAACTCAAATTTTTTAGAAGTTGCGGGCGTTATGACACTTTTAAAAGTGGGGCACCATGTCATTTTTTGAAAGGGCGTTATGACACTCGTAAAAGTGTCATAAGGCGCCCGCGGGCGCTATGACAACGGGCGTTATGACACGCACCCAATCGGATTACTACAACCGGAGATTACGATTTTCAATTAGATGGTACTTTTTCAAAATACACGTTTTTTGGCAAACTAAAAACATCCTGATACACGTGTTTACTAATTTTCCGAATAGTACACGTAAAAGTTTCAGGCAAATTAAAAATGTGACCCAAGAAAAGGTCTTCGGTTTGTAAAAGAACCGCCCATATTTAAAATTGCAATTTACTGTATACAATTGCGCCCAATTCCTATACTATTGTTTTAATTTTTGCAATCGCCGGAAAACGAGTTCTTCTATGTATTTATCTTATCGACCGTCCGATAAGCGGCAAACTTCCAAACTTGTTTACATACTGCTTCCCGCTTGGTCTGACGTTGCAACGCGTTGTTCGAAGACCCAAAAAAAAGAAAATTAAAATGGTTCAATGTGTGGAAACTGGAAATTTGTAAGAATTGCAGTTGTTACGCCAGTCTAGAACGCTAGTCGACACTTCCGTGTTTATTTTATACGATATTGGATATCGGGGCACCCGACTATAGCGTTCTCTCTTGCTGACACTTCTTTCCAACTACTGCAAAATACACACTAGGCCAGAAAGTTAATTTTTTGGCCAAAAATCTGTAATTTCTTTCCTTGGACACTTAGAGGTATGCAGTTTATTTGCGTTTTTTTCTCAAAAGATTGAACTTTCCAACGAACTAAAAGTAAAATTTCTTGGAATTTTATATAATATAGATAATCCTAACCAAAGTCGGAAAGTTCTTCGTACTTTTCGGCTTATCATTTAAAAAAAAATAACTAGAAGGCGCACTTAATCCATTTTCACTCACGATAAAGTCTTATCTCATACAAACTAAAAAAAATTAACATCGCTAAAAAATATTTTGTCGTTTAAGATTTATGAACTGTTAAAAACTGCAACTTTCGGAGGCTCCCACATCAACGTTTGTCAAAAAATAGATTTAAAAACAATTTATATTTTTTGTTCTTGTTTTCTTTTAAGATTTTTATAATCAAATTATTAAAAAAAATTGTTTAACAAATATGATTTTTTAATTTGTTTATGGTTTATTTGACATATTCTGTCATCGCAAATG